CTGACCCTCCCCTGCTCATGCTGTCTCTCTCTCTCTCTCTCTCTCTCTCCTAGAAATAAAAAAACATTTAAAAAAAAAAATGCTGGGAGAAGGAAAACACCCAATATAGTTTCCCATGAAAAAAAGGACTCAGACTTCCTATTAACCCTTTCTACTTAAAGTGATTCTTGGGGCACCTGAGTGGCCTAGTCCGTTAAGCACCCAACTCTTGATTAGAGCTCCAGTCATGATCTCATGGTTCGCAGGATCGAGCCCCACGTCAGGATATGTACTAACAGTGTGAAGCCTGCTTGGCATTCTCTCTCTCTCTCTGCCTCTCCCATGATCACGTGCACTCTCTCCCTCAAAATAAACTAAAAAAAAAAAAAGGGGATTCTCAACGGGGGACTTTTGCCTTACAGGGAACATGTAGCAACGTCTGGAGACATTTCTAGTTGTCACAACTGTCACAACTGAACTAGGTGTCTGTACTCCTGGCACCTAGTAGATAGAAGATGCTAAAGCACTGGGAGCCAGGCATATGCCCTCCATGCAGGAGAATGAAAAATCTTCTCTGGAGAAGCTCACTCCCCTGAGAGAAAAGACCTAAGAATGATCCTAGAGAAAAGACTACAAAAGAAAACAAGGAATTTTAAGATGATATTAATAGAACGCTAATTTTGTTTGAACCAAGAGAGTTAATCCTGGGGGAATGTTTGGAGTTGAAATAGTGATAAACATACAAAAAACCTATACGTTTTTAAATGTAAAGACAATCTTTAATTCAAGGTAAGCAAAATGTAATGTCCCAGAAAGGAAATGTAATAAAAGCATATAGAGTTTGGGGCGCCTGGGTGGCTCAATGGGTCAAGGTGTGACTCTTGATTTCGGCTCAGGTCATGATCTCACAGCTCCTGAGTTTGAGACCTGCACTGGGCACTAAGCTGACATTATGGAGCCTGCTTGGGATTCTCTGTCTCCCTCTCTCTCTCTACTCCTCTCTCATTCACTATCTTTCCCAAAAACGAAAGGAAGGAAGGAAGGAAAGAAGGAAGGAAGGAAGGAAGGCAGGCAGACATACAGAGTTTAGCACCAAATATACATTCATGATAATACAAACAATGAATAGTAATCCAATCAAAATATATTGGGAAGGCAGGAAAACAGGAAGGGAGAAGGGAGAGGAGTTGTCTAAAAAGGAGTTGTCTAAATCCTAATCTTCCAGAGTAAAAAGTCAGAAGATAGCACATATAACTGTAATAAATCATGAAATAGTAATATAAGTATAGATTTAATGATATAGATATAATACACTGAGAATCAGCTGAAAGAGCACGAAGTTCTGACCTCTGAGAGAATATGGCATGCTTGTGCACATGTGTAGCAGTGTTTTCTGTTAACAAGTCTCAGAGAACTACTGGACTCTTTAAATTCCATGAATGTAAATGTAATTACAATATGCTTTAAAAATTGTATTTGAGTGTAGGGACATTTGATACATGGGTTTGGGATCTAGTAAGCCTCAATTAGTTTTCTTAATATGTAGAACAGACTAGATCCATAAAAAAGTACCCTAAAGCAAGTCCTAGATTTGTTAAGCCACTTTTCTACTCATCCAGGCAAGGCAAAAGAACAGGCTGGATAGAGAAGACTTTAACTCTTTCTCTGTTTTATTCCTGGGTTACTCACCAACCTTTACACTGAAGTCTTATGTTAAACATGATACTACTGAACACACAGGTATCCTTGCCTATGAATACCACTAGGTCACATCTGAAGAGTTGCTGGAGACGATTTTTCACTTTTTACTTTATTGTTTGAATGTATATAATGAGTATATTTTTACAGATGAAACATACACAAAGATCCTTAATGATTAGTTCATAACCTGACCACATTCCCCTTGACCCAACTCAAAATAATCTGAGCAGAAAGGAATATCAACATATAAAACACAGTATAACCAAGAAAGCATATCCCTAATAAAATATTGCTCATATTCCAAAGGGTAAATCTAAAAGACATAAATGATACATACTATGGAGCTGGTACTAAATATAATCCTCAAGTATCGTTAAGACACAAATCAATTTTTAAGTTCTCTACATACCACTTAAACAAGCTTCATTTTAAATTAAGTCAAAGTTTACTTTTTAGATTGGTATAATATACATATTCTTTGCAAGTAATAAAACTCAAATTTATCTCCAAACTACCATCATTCAGGCTTCTTTTATGCTGCACAGTGCCCAGAACAAGCTAGTACATTAAGGGGTGCAATGAGTTACTGACTGAGAGAAATTAATCTAATGAATTAAATCAGTGGGGGGAAAATCAATAATGTTGAATAACAGGTATAAATTTTAAACTTCTCTGTGATTCTTTAAATCATGTTTTACAAGATTTTACCTTGGTACTGATTATTCTTCAATAGATTATTTTACCCTGTGGTAGAGAGCATTGTAAGCATAAATTAAATGGAAGGCTGGCTTTATTTTGCCCACAGATTTTCTTCTTTCTTGCTGCTACACTGTAATAATATTGCCTTCTTCTTGACAAAAATATTCAGTAAAGAATTTACCTACACCAAACTCAGCTTTTGCTAAACTCATTTTTAACATAAATCCATTCCTTACCTTTACCCCAACACATTAAAAAAAATTTTTATCTTTTAAAAATCCATTCACATATATTATCACTTTTGATTCTCTGAACCATCATATGAGGAGTACACCATGCACTATTAGCTCCATTTTACTAATGAGAAATTGATGTTCACAGAGGCTGAATAACTCATTTAAGGTCCTAATGGTAGTGACTGACAAAGACAACACTTGGAACCAAGTTTTCTGATTCCAAGCCCAGTGGCTCTTTTCACTACAGTACACTTACTTACTTTTCGACAAAATAGAATACTGGAGGACTACAGTGCTGATAGGTATCTTTTTCATAAGTTTTTCTTTTATAATAAATATACATTAAACAACAACTATTATTAGCTTAATAACTACAACAGCTTTACAAAATGTCATCAAATATAAATCACATATCAAGTTTTTAAATCATGTGAAACAAATGGTATTAATTCAAGGGATTCAAACAACCTAAGAATAAAATGAAGAAACTCTTTTAATTATCTGGTAACATATTCCTTCTATAGCCTTATTTTACAACTTAGCTTAGAGGGATCCTTGACAAATTTTAAATGTAGGGAAAAAAAGATAATTAAAACTATGTTTGAAAAATATAACTTCCTCCTTTTTTAAATACTAAAATACCAGGGGAAAAAGTTGCATCTACTTACCTCAGTAATTGGTTGCCCCTGATGTGTCAAATCCAGCTCTTGAGGGCGTGTTACTTTATCAATATCCAATGAGTCCATGCTAGACGTTGCGGAGGTGATGCTAGAACGAGAGGAGTTACTAATAGAGCGCACGTCTGCATCACTCACTGTGCCTGCTGATGCTGTTCTTCTGTGCTGATTAGTTACTAAGGGCTTAGTGTCTTCTGGAACAGATTGCTGAGCAGCCTCATCCATGCTCAAGGAAGCCTGCTCTAACTGTGCAGTGATGTCATCCAGGGAGTAGTTGGCATGTGATGCTTTAGTTATTCTGTTAGATGAAGAAGACAATCCTTTCAAAGTGCCATGTTTTGTTGTATGTCGGCTAGCAGGTAATTTCTGAGTAGCTTTTGTTTCTGTGATTTGACGCTTACTATTTCCTGCACCAATACTGCTGAGCTCCTGCTCTATTGAGCAAAGATCGGCCATCAGGGCATCCAGATCCACAGTTTCTCCCTGATTCAGAGCTTCTGCAATGAACAATATACATGATGTTTCCAGAACACACTGAATGAGAATTTATACATTCTATTATAAATCTGTTAATGAACGCAGGGGAAGCAGCAAAGAAATTTCTCCTATTGGGCCTAAAGCCTATCAAATTCATATTTCTAAGAGTTTTTGTTTTAAATTCACAGAGAAATTTTTAGAAGCAAACAGTCCATCTTTTAAGATTTGTAGTAATCAGCAGAGAATAAAATTATGAGTTGAAAAGATAAAAATAATGCAAAACTCATATACCGTCCCATGGTTTTAACTACATCCCCCATCCAACCTTTTACCATGGGCGATATGTTTTTAATATAATCAGTGCCTTGGTTAAGCTGTTAATACCTGAAGAGTTGAGAGGATAGAGGGAAAAAATACAAGGCCTAAAAAAATCACAGATTATGATATCAATTCCAAGTATTATAAAGTTGATTAGGCAGAATACATTAAGGCCAGAGGAACTGATTTAAAAATTATTACCGGTAATTTCACTGGACTATATTTCAATGAAAATACAACAATGCAATTAAGTTTGTCATGGAGTTCCAACTTGAATATGTACTTACTTGGTCAATTATTAATAACTGAAAACTATTTTAGTTATGTTCCAGTTTCATTTGTTCTGTGATCATTTGAATTTGTAATAAAATGCACAAATCAAGAAATAGAAGAACTCACTGAAGTTATGCATGTAGTTTTTATATTGAGTTATTCAGAACTGTAACTGCATTGCTTCCACATTATATAATTTAGTATACTATTTTATATTTTATTTCCAATTACATCTTACCATTCAAGTTGTATATGGAGAAGCGATAAGAAAAATTGGCCATATTTGTTTCCTGACGAAGAGGAGATCTTTTTACTGGTTCCATGGGCTTGTCAGTATCTAAGCTCTTTAAAAAACAAAGTTTAATAAGTTGTATTATTTTCAGGCTTCAATTATAAAAAAGATAAATAAAGTTTGTTTTTTGTTTAGGTGAACTTTCATGTAACAGTTTAAAAAACCAAAATCCTTCTAGTCCTAAGGAAAAGTATAATTGTATTTTCATATTATTTCGGCTATAGTTTTTTCTTTCAATTTTTAGATATATGCTTACTTTAAGGCATTTAAGATCATCCTAGTTCATCCTAGTTTGAGCATCTTTCCAAATATATCAAGTGATAAACTCATTTTACAAAAATTCACTATAAGCTGAGTATAGTGAATATGGCATGGAAAGATAAGAAACAGAAAGGAACAATGCAGGGAATTCTGTCATCTCTTTCCTCAAAGGGATTTGGTTTTGGTCCAGCACAGTCTCATTCTTGGCATGAAGTACCCTGAAGATAAGGCACAATTCTGGACTCAAAGTAAGTGAAATCCAAGATGGTTTTTTTCTTTGTATTTATTGAAAAAAATGTTTTTAATTTTAATTCTAGTTAATATACACTGTTTATTAGTTTCAGGTGTACAATATAGTGATTCCACAATTCTATACATTACACATTGCTCATGATGCCAATCCCTCACCCCACCTCTCCTTTGGTAACCATCAATTTGTTCTCTATAGTTTAGAGTATGTATTTTGGTTTGTCTCTTTTTCTTTGGCTTTCTTTAGTGAAAACGCCTGGAAAAGACCAGGCATCTGCCCCCAGTCCACTGCTGGGCCTGGTCAGATTGGTGTGTGATTATCTGCCCCTCTTCCCACGGAAGGAGTTACTCTGGAGTGGTGCCAATCCCTATTGGATTTGCTTTCACCCTACTAGGCTTGTGGTACCACTTTGGCTGGGCTCTGGCCAAAAGCATATTACAGGGGGCAGGACCACAGGAGAACACAGGGCAGGGTAGGTGGTGTTAGTGAGATCTGGGCCGGTTTGCTGTGGCAGGGGACCTGGTTTAAATGGAACAGGTAAGCCAGGTTGGAGGGGAGCAGGTCCACAGAAACGTGTGGGGTGGAATGTGTGTTGTTAACAAGGTTTGCATAGGTTTGCTATGGGAAGACACCTGGAGCTGAGGCATGGCTGGAGGGGGCATGTCTGCAGAATGCAGGGTCAGGGCACACTGTTAGACAGTGAGAGTTGGCTCTGAACTGGTTCCTGCAGGTATCTGTGGGCTTATGCTAGGAAGGTGGGTTGGGAAATGGTGCCAGGCAGCTCCTTTGTTCCTGGAGAAGTCCCCAATGATCCCTGCCCCTCCAGCACATACTCTGAGGTTAATAACCAAATCCTTCTCTCCCTTACCCCAGGTGTTTTTCAAACTGCTGCTTCTATGCTATATCTTAATGGGGCTGTTTGTTGTGCTCCCTCTTTAAGGGCAGTTTCCTCTAGCCCTTCTGGGTCTGCCAGAGCCAAACCCACGGATTTTTAACGTTCCAAGTGCTAAGTCCCACTGTTAAGTGTTAAGAAGGGAAATTTAGCCCACTGGTTTTCAAAACCAAATGTTATGGGGATATGTCTTCCCTGTACAGGGTCCCTTGTGTGAGCATCTGCTTCTCTTCCCTCTCCACACCCAGGATGCCCCTCCCTTGTGTCTCTGCCTTTCCTACTCTCTTGGATGTGGCTTCTTCTCTACATTTAGCTATGGAAACTTTGTTCTGCCAGTCTTTAGGTCATTTTCTGGGTCATTTACACTGATGTGGGTGTTATCTAGTTGTATCCATCAGACCAAGTAAGCTTAGGATCTTCCTACTCCACCATCTTCCCCAGAAGTTCTAAGACCTAAGATCCCAACAGAGAGTGGCTACAACTTCAAACAATGATGGAATATATCCTTTTTCTTCTCAACCTCTATCAAGATGAGGGCAAAATGTAATCAGATGTGATACTGCCTTTAAGTCTAGAATTACACTGTACTTTTTAAAAAAATTTTTTTTAATGTTTGACTTATTTCTGAGAGAGAGAAAGAGGCAGCGTGAGCAAAGGAGAGTCCGAGAGAGAGGGAAATACAGAATCCGAAGCAGGCTCCAGGCTCTGAGCTAGCTGTCAGCACAGAACCTGACGCGGGGCTCAAACCCACAAACTGTGAGATCATGACCTGAGCTGAAGTCAGATGCTTAACTGACTGAGCCACCCAGGCACCCCAAGAATTACACTGTACTTAAGAACAGGGTCTTGTAAGTTATCTCAACTCCTTAAATGACACTTTTCCTCTCTAACCTTTTTACAATAAAGAAATTCGGGGGAAAGGTCAGTAGTTATTTGGTGTCTAAATAAATCTGCAAATATTAGGAACAGTTTTTTAAAACTTTAATTTCTATTTATAATTATCAAATCAATTTCAAATAAAAAAGAATACTGGATAGTGTTTTTGTAGAATCATGGAATTACATCAGAATGGTGCCTTTTTTATTTGTCTCGAGATAAAAGGAATCCATTCAGATAATGTCCAACCAGTTTTTAAAGCAATCATATGAAGGGGATCTATAACCATTCACTGCCTTATTTCAAAGTTTCACAAAACTGTCAGGAAATTCTCCTTCAACCTCAAACCCAGTTCTTTTGCAATTTAAGTCCTAATGCTTCTCTCAATGAAATGAAAAGTAATAAGTAGATATCTTCTATAAAAGAAAACTTGAAGATAATTGAGGACATATTAAGAGTCAATCTATTTACCAGTTCAAATAAACAGATACTTGTTATAATTATCTGTTGTGCCCACAGTGCTGGGGGGAACAAGAGAAATAGTAAGAAATACTCCTTGACACCAAGAAATTGGTAAACAAGTAGTATGATTTTTAACCTTTTTGGGGGTGTTTGGGCAGGTGGCAGGGGAGTATCATGAGAATTCTGCAAAAGCTATGACCCTCCAGGAAAAGGGAAATACACAAAAAATTTTACAAATGATTTTAGAAGATTCACCAACCACTTAGAAGTTAAACTCAATTTAATATAAAGTTGAAAATCCCAGTAACACAGTATGTGTGATACAGGTGCACAGATGACACTTTGTAGTAAATTAAAATAATGAAACAAAAACCTCAAGTTTTAGCCACTAATAAAGTATATAACATTTTTTGAAAACTTCTAAAGTGTTGAAACTTGTTAGCAGTGAGCCACATCATGCAATGGTTTTAATCTGTTTTGTCTCTAAAGACAGATTTATGTAATTAAAAAAAAAAAAAAAACCACAGTCACAGCATTAGGTTAGGAGCCAACTTTTTTGGTGAGTGGTTCTTCACATTATATGGCAAGAAATTTAAAACACTGGGAAGAAAACAAGTACCAAATCAGTAGAAATGCCATCTGCAGTAAAACAGCATGGAGTTACTATTCCACCTTTTAAAAAAAATGTTTTATTACTTATTTTTGAGAGAGAGCAGGGTGAGGGGCAGGGGGGGGGGGGGGGGAGGATCCCAAGCAGGCTTCGTGCTGTCAGCACAAAGCCCGATGTGAGACTCTCAAACTCATGAACTGTGAGATCATGACCTAAGCTGAAATCAAGAGTTGGATGCTTAAATGAGCCACCCAGGCACCCTACTATTCCACCTTTTTTAAATCCAAGATCCAATAAAACAAAAAAAGCTTTGCCACTGTTTTAAAATGCAGCCAGGAATGAAGTTTTGTCAGTATTCTAGAATTATGTAATAGAAAATACTTGCATATGAGGGCATTACTTATGTTGTAAAACATATTCTTATTTATTAAGTTATGGAATAAAACTTTAGATTTAGGGGCGCCTGGGTGGCTCAGTCAGTTAAGTGTGCGACTTCGGCTCAGGTCATGATCTCGTGGTTCGTGGGTTCGAGCCCCGTAAGTCAGGGTCTGTGCTGACAGCTAGCTCAGAGCCTGGAGCCTGCTTCAGATTCTGTGTCTTTTTCTCTGACCCTCCCCTGCACACGCTGTCTGTCTCTCTCTCAGAAATAAATAAAACATTAAAAAAAATTTTTTTTAAACTACAGACTTTTAAATTTTAGGTTTCAAAACTTTTTTAGCTAGCTATTTCAATTTACAAAAGAGATTTTAAGTAATCCCTCTAGATGAGCAGAACTTCTGCAGCAAGTATTTTTTTGTTTTTAGAGTCCTTAAAATAACCACAGAAGATAATGCTTTGTGTTCTAGAGTTGCCATTCATTTACTTTTTAATGTTTTGTACATTTTCCCTTTATACCAGTACTTAAAAATGGAACCTATATCCGTATCCTTACGTCCACCTAGTAAACTTGCAGCACACAGTGATGACTTAAAATCCTTGAACAATTTTTCAAGCACTATTTCTAACCTGAGTGAGTTTGTCTAGCTCCCCTAGCCAGGCTCCAAACATTTTGTCCAGGTCCTGATCTTCCTTATCACTGTCTTCTTCAGCACCATGGTCAATTTCTTCATCTGATAGCTGCTCCATCTAAAATACAAACATTTGGTAGAGTGATGAGTAATAGGTTGAACTTGAAAAATTATGCAGTATATGTTCTGATATATATGGCCACTTTCTGGAGTTAAATCTTTAGATTTCGAGAGCACATTACACAAAGAAACTAGACATCATTAATGGAGACAGGACTGACAAGTGAGTAGGAATGAGCATTTAAGTATCAAATATTTAGGAAATTGTGGGGAAAAAATTGTATCATATTATGACCAGAATCACAAGCTAACAATAATTCTAAAATTGCAGAGCCTTCCCATTAATCAGAGGCTATTATAGTAGTACAATCTGCTCTACTAACTGATCCTATAACACTCCAAACATCACAGAGAAACAATTTCAGAAAAGTTCAATCCAGCAAGTTATTATCCCACTTATTCTGCAAAAATCTGTTTAGATACAAATAAGTATGTAGCTTGCAAAACTTTAGTCAAAAAAGCACTTCAGAGAAAAGACAAAACAAAAATTTTTATCTAGTTTAGTTTACTGAATTAGTTCCCCCTCCCCTATTGTTCTTTCTAGCTTATCTTCTCATTAGTTATTACAAAATTGAAGGACCAGATTGAAAAAAAAAAAAAAAACTTTAGAAAACTAGAATTGAAAACTTTAAACTATGCAAAATTTCCTATATGTGGTGACTTTTCAAGTGTAATTTCATGAAAGAAGAAATATTTTCCTTCTTCCCATTAATCATATGATATCTGACACGGAACTTGACATTGTTTTGTGGAGGAAGAAAAAGGTACACAAAACAAAGATCAATTATTGGCCAGACTCTTAAAGTTCTTAAAGTAATATTAATCTATTACAAAATATTTCCATATAAAGAGTCTGAGGAATCTTTTAAAATTCCAGTACAGATAACATAGAGTATTATATTAGTTTCAGGCGTATAACAGAGTGATTCAACAATTCACAGTTACCCAGGGCTCCTCACAAGTGCACTCCTTAATCCCCATCACCCATTTCATCCATCCCCCACCTACCTCCCCACTCTGGTAACTACCATTTTGTTCTCTACAGTTAAGAGTCTGTTTCTTGGCTTGGCTCTGTCTTTCAGAAATCTTTAGTAAAGATTATCATTGCTTAAACCAACATATTCCAAATTAATTTGATCCCAAGTCCTTTACCTTCAACTTAGAGTAATACCAACTGACTTTTCCAGGGACACAATGAATATCATCATTCTACATTCCATATTCTTGACTCACATTTCTGAAACACTAATTTTGCTCCAGAGGATCTAGACAATATTTGGAATACTGCCTGTCAGTGGTTTAAACAATTCCTCAGAGATTAAAGATATCATAATCTCAAATAAGAATTTGTACACATATTATACTTCCAAAGCAACAATAAACAAAATTGTGATCCTTAAAATGTGGTTGTGTGCTATGTGAGGAATTTAATTGTCTAATGAGGTATCATGAAGCTAAATTTTAAACCTTATTTCACTAGATAAGTTTTTGCAGAAAGAGTCAAATAATGTTGCAAAATCAAACTGAACTTAGTTCTAAGGATGTGGAAAATCAGATCATATCCCATTTAATCGCTTAAGGAAAATAATTTTCTTAAGCTTAATACTAGAAAGGATCACAGCTTATCAATATCTCTCATGTAAACTGATAATTCTCATTTCTTAATTTCACTACCCTAAACATGTATAAATCAGAGCATTCTTTTCTTTTTTAAGTTTATTTATTTTGAGAGAGAGCAAGAGAAAGAGAGAGAATATGAATCAATCCCAAGGAGGCTCCACAGTTAGCACAGACTGATGCAGGGCTTGAACTCATGAACCATGAGATCAAGACCTGAGCAGAGATGAAGAGTTGGATGCTTAAATGACTGAGCCACCCAGGTGCCCCCAGAACATTCTGTCTTGACAAATGGAAAATACATCCACTAATTCCCAAATTCATACATTTAATCTTAAAGAGATTTGGTTTTTATAATTCACTTGTGTTAACAGTAGTTCAAGGATTTTTATTCATTAATGGACTATTTACAAATCTATCCCGATGGAAGCCTGATATCATACTTAATCATTAAGTATACCCAAAAAAACATAAAATGTTAGTACAAAGACAAACCTGACCAAGTAACTTAATTACTCAAATAACAGTTGCTAACTTGAGAACATCTAGAAGTAGTAATACCCAGTCTTCATAATGAAGGCCAAAAAGAAACAAAACTGGGAATTTAAAAGTCAACTTCCACTTCCTCCCTAATCTTTAAAACTAAATACTCTGGAATAACCCAGAAGTTAAAATATTCTAGCAGGAATTCTGCTTTGAGATAATGATTATGCCTGCACATCCCTTCTGAGCACACACTGTAATTGCCCATAAGGAAGACGCTATACTGGAAGTAAACAGGAATATAATTTTGCATATAATTTTGCAAAGCCTATGCGAAATAGTTCAAAATGAATGTAAGTATTTTAAATTATCACAGAACTAAATAGAACTATAGCCTCCAAATCAAAGACTGGTGTCTTAATTTTTAGTTTTTCCCTATTATTGAAACTCAGTAATTATTTGGATTTATTAAATCTCTTTAAATATATTCATTAATAGTTTTATCTGGATTACTACAGATTACAGTAGAGGAAAATATGGCTAGGAAGCAATACGGAGACTTTGAAGCAACTATATGACTTTTACTATTTATGTAACTTTTGCCAATTTTTTCCATTCTTGAATTTCTGTCACCACATGGGTTACTATATAAAAATTAACTTAAGACAGTTATTCAGAGACTTTTCCAATAAAAATTTAGGTCTTACAATATTTCTTAACAGATCTACACCCTAAAATAGCATTCTCCATTCTCTAGAAGCTGAAGTTGATCCTTATTCTCTGACATCCAGAAATGGCATGACTTCTGATTACTACACACACCAAACAGCCTCCCAAAAGTTCTCTTGGCTCTATACTGTAATCTGGTACAGAAATTCATCCTTTATTACATATCGATACCTGTCTCCAATTAGAGCACAATTCTAAATCTGAATTTTCCTAACATAATGCCCCTACTGGAAATAACATCAGAAAATGCGAATAACACAACAGTCAACTGTCCCTCCAAAGGGCAAAAAAATGAAGGAAAAGAAAACAGAACTTATGAATCTTGTTTTTAAAATAACTTGGATTTATTAATTTTTTTAATGTTTTATTTATTTCTGAGAGAGAGACAGCATGAGCAGGGGAGGGTCAGAGAAAGAGGAGACACAGAATCTGAAACAGGCTCCAGGCTCTGAGCTAGCTGTCAGCACACAGCCCGACATGGGGCTCAAACCCACGAACCGTGAGATCATGACCTGAGCTGAAGTCGGACGCTTAACCGACTGAGCCACCCAGGTGCTCCTAAAATAATTTGGATTTAAAAGAATAGCTTTTAATGTGATCCTTTTTCTTCATGATGTGGAAATAGGCCCAAAGAAATTATAATGCATACTAGAATACTATTAAATTATTCTATGACTATTAGATTAGGTACGTTGAGGAAGGGGAGAATATATTAAAGTTTCACTTTAATTCCCTGCTCCATTACATCTGAGGGAAACTATATTCTGGAAAAAAATAAATGTACCATAACACAAATGAAAAGGTTTATTCCCCAAAGGGCAGACTTACTGAATATAAAGTCTGTAGTCACTGGCAGATCAAGAAAACCCTGAGTAATCCCGGCCTTCAGGGACCTCTGTGACCTTTCTTCCCATTCTACCTTCCAACCACACTGTCCTGCCTGCTGTTCCTTGGAGCAGGAAAGGGTGGGGAGGGTGTAGATTCTGTTTTGAAGATAGATTGAGAGATGTCTAGTAAACACCCAACTGGAAAAAAATGAGGAAGGGTTGGGACTCAGGTAATGAGAAGGTTTAGTTGCCTGATTATTTCAAAACCATATGTTTATTAGAGAATAATCAGATTGCAGGTAATAATGATTGAACTAATATTTTAAGCTAACTTGCATTTCTTTTTTCATATAGCAAAAACAGAAATAATGGGGGAATGATCCACCATTGCTTATATACAGGCTGGTTTCATTTCACAGACAACAGTCAATAATTGTGTTTTAATTATTACAGGTTACAACTTATACACAGCAAACTCCACTACACACAACAAAATAGTGTTCCTTAGTATGAAACTATTATTTCTACTAAATTTTCTATGAAGTTAATTATTCAAACATATTTTCCCTATTAAACTTCCTCTTGGGAGATATTTTGCTTTACTATTCAACTTCCTCACTGTGAGACAGAATGGTGATCTTTATCAAGAAGGCTGGGCTTAGAGTAGGGTTTAAGAATTTGAATAAATATATTCCAGGTAGGGCAAATTTTAAAGAGCAAAGGAGAAAGCCTGTGTTTATAAAACTGTCATGAGATTGACGCAAATAAAACAAGAGTTTGAAAAAGTGAGTTTTAAGAGGACTAAGGTCATATATATGACCTTGAAAGACAAGTCCATTTTTCCCCCAGAGGGCAACCAAATTCTCAAACACAGAAGCAAGTGGGGGGGGGGAGGGGGGATGGTATTTTACTCAGAGGACACAGTGCCTGTGTAAAAGTTATTAGAAAAGGGCTAATATTTAGAGGGCTACTGTGAATACTATGTAGAGATAATTACAGAAATGGAAATTAAAGTCCTGAGAGGAAATACAACACAAGTCACATGTTTAGAGAGTGACAAGAAAAATACATGGTATTAAACGAGGCTGTCTTATTTATTACTGAACTTTTTGTCCCTTTAACAATTCAAAAATAATTTTGGGGGGAAAAAAAACCCATATACTTAAAACCACATGAAAACTCCCAGAATGCAGGAGGAATGCAAGCTGCCACTACAGCATTTCTTCAAGTCTAACATGCTCAAGGCTCCAAAGAGGCAAGAGAAGCTTTGATTTAATGTTTGCTGTACACCTACTGTGTGCTAGACACTGGAAGAATAGAGATGAACATGATAGTCTCTGTC